TGTGTTATAACTAAGGAATTCCATGAATATTGGCAGATTGAAATTCCTAATTAGTTATACCATCTCATTGAAACTAGAACCCTCAAAAGAGGTCTTGGGAACAGCAAATGCCACTCAAGGCTTAAAGCTAATTCGTTATATCATAACAGCTTTGCATAACCTTTGGTGATCATAGGGGAACCTTTCAAAGCATCTGTCTGTTCATTGGTTGGATAGCATTTGGTTAAAATGAAAGGGACCGTGTCTGGATAGATATACTGTACATATATCAAGTTGTTGGCTTACCTCTACAAATAAAATCAATTGTAAATGACTACTCTAATCTGTTTGTATGTTTATATTGTTCTGTTGAATATGGATTCAGTTTGAGAGACTTTCTAGTAGACGGTATCCAGTTTCTTTTTTTCAAATCTTTGTTCTTAAAACCCTTAAGCCTTCAGATAAAAAAAAATATAGATAACGTGCCTACTGTGATGGTTCATAAAGATCTTTTCAAGGTGCTATTTCATCTAGCAACAGAACTTTCTTGTTTCACCAAGTCCTAACATATTATGAGGGAGTTGGTGTAAATCAGGTGCTTTGTTGGGGAAGATGATGATGCCTTTGAAATGCATTCAAAGGAAATAAACTGGATGGTACAGTCAGTATTTGTGAAGGCAGGCAATCACTAACACCCAGCCTTGCATAATTTCTTCAAGATTACATGTAGGGATAGATTAATTCTCCATAGATAAAAATGTTTGGAAATGTTTTTCTCAGTTACTGAAATAATGCAGTAAATAAGAATTGTCACAGTTTATGGAATTATTACAGAGGGAACTCCCCTTTAGTATAATAGAATTTGGCTTCTCTTCCTTCAGCTTTGTCAACACTTTTAGATTCCTACTAACTTTACAATAGGAGTTTATAGGAAGTGGGGTTTTTTTTATATAAAGTGTGATGCCACTGTTTCTTGGAAGCATATTTATGTTTTGTTTACTTTCAATTATGGTGCCTTAGATTTGGAGCTGCTTTGGTATCTCATAGTAAGTTGCAGAAAGTTTCCATTTGTCACCACAAACTTGCACAGCCGTAGATTAAGAACTCTGGAATTCTATCAATAATGACCACTCAGCTGATTACTGGACTGGGTTATTGGCTAAGACTTTTAATTAGCCAATACCTGGAATAAAACTGCAGGAATGTGTTGTGGTGTTGAGCTTTAGAATTCGTTTTTGTATCTTATTGTATACAGTACTGTAATCATCTTCAGTGATTGGGTGTTTCACATTTGAAGCCTACCGTGCTACCTTTGGCTTGGGACTTAAGTGAGATAAGTGGATGATTGCTTTTGATACTTTAATACCGAGTCTTGACTAGACACTCGGTCACTCTCCCTCTCTCAAGGAGTAACTATAAAGTCAGCTGGATGTGAGATGTGAACCTGACATGCAGCTTATGGGTGGTGACAGGTGACTGAGGTGTGCACTGCCTATGTCATCATGACTCGTCAACTTTAAGGGCTCTTAGTTACGTCAAGAACTAATAAAAGAAGTACTCTATCTGTAGTCTTAGTTGTGTTTTCTGTGTTTTGGTCCTGGGATAATACAGACTTGGTCATAGAATTGGATTTCAGGATGAGTCCCTCATTTTGTGAACTTGGTATGCCAGTCCAATACAGTACAGGTATATTAATAATAATTATATGCTGTGTAAATAGTTACTGTTTACACACCACACAGCACAATAATTCTTAACTTTCATTTTATGAAGAAGAAAACTAATGAATCATATCATATTAGTATCTGTCATAGGTAAACCATGGGACAATTTCCCAAGTTTTTGGCAATTTGAGATTTTGTTGATTTTAGGAATGGTTACCCGAGGAAGTATCCTTCAAGGGTTGCTTGCTTTAAGTGTTTATTCAATCTTTGAGCTTTTATGAATCCAGTACAGTACTTGTATTCTGTAGTAAAAGGGTAATTTGGATTTTTTTTTTTTGGGGGGGGGGAGGAAGAATGTATGAGAATGGGTTGAGACTTAGGTTATACTGTACTGTAGGAGGAGAAAGATTAATATCTAAAACAAGATTAAAATGCTGCACAAGTACGATTAAGAGTAGACTTATTACAGAGGTTGGTTGGTTTTGAAAACTAATTATACATAGTTCAGGAAGAGCTATGTGATTGGGGTATGACCGTCAGTGTTTTCCCATCAGTTAAGGCGTGACATAAATTATGGAAGATAATGAAGGGGGGGGACAAGATAGCATGGTGATTAATACTACAGTATAGTATGTTCAAAGGAGAAGATGAATTGATGATGGAATGGTAAATGGATTAATTGGTAAAGTACTACAAGTTTGTTTCACAATTATCCAGTTGTCAAACATTAAATACTGTACAGTATAGCATTAAATTGGAGTTGGTTCAGGGAATGGAAGTTCATCAGAGAGAGAAGGAGGAATTTTGAGATGTAGGAATTGGAAAGAGATTGGTTAAAGTGTGAGAGAATAAGGGATTGGTTAGTGTGAGAGAATAAGGGATTGGTTAGTGCGAGAGAATAAGGGATTGGTTAGTGCGAGAGAATAAGGGATTGGTTAGTGTGAGAGAATAAGGGTTTGGTTAGAGTGAGAGAATAAGGGATTGGTTAGAGTGAGAGAATAAGGGATTGGTTAGAGTGTGTGAGAGAATAAAGGGATTGGTTAGAGTGTGAGAGAATAAAGGGATTGGTTAGTGTGAGAGAATAAGGGATTGGTTAGTGTGAGAGAATAAGGGGTTGGTTGGTGTGAGAGAATAAGGGATTGGTTAGTGAGAGAGAATAAGGGATTGGTTAGTGTGAGAGAATAAGGGATTGGTTAGTGTGAGAGAATAAGGGATTGGTTAGTATGAGAGAATAAGGGATTGGTTAAAGTGTGACAGAATAAGGGATTGGTTAGTGTGAGAGAATAAGGGATTGGTTAGTGCGAGAGAATAAGGGATTGGTTAGTGCGAGAGAATAAGGGATTGGTTAGTGTGAGAGAATAAGGGTTTGGTTAGAGTGAGAGAATAAGGGATTGGGTTAGTGTGAGAGAATAAGGGTTTGGTTAGAGTGAGAGAATAAGGGATTGGTTAGTGTGGAGAATAAAGGGATTGGTTAGAGTGTGAGAGAATAAGGGATTGGTTAGTGTGAGAGAATAAGGGATTGGTTAGAGTGTGAGAGAATAAGGGATTGGTTAGAGTGTGAGAGAATAAGGGATTGGTTAGAGTGTGAGAGAATAAGGGATTGGTTAGAGTGTGAGAGAATAAGGGATTGGTTAGTGTGAGAGAATAAGGGATTGGTTAGAGTGTGAGAGAATAAGGGATTGGTTAGAGTGTGAGAGAATAAGGGATTTGTTAGAGTGTGAGAGAATAAGGGATTGGTTAGTGTGAGAGAATAAGGGATTGGTTAGAGTGTGAGAGAATAAGGGATTTGTTAGAGTGTGAGAGAATAAGGGATTTGTTAGAGTATTAGTATATAAGGGATTGGTATAATTAGAAAGTGATATACAGTGAGAGTTAAGCGTGTTTGATGACGGTTTAGAGGCTGTATTACACACACGATATAGTGAGGGAAGCCAGACAGTTCAAATTGAATACCAAGATTTGATATTGTATTTGTATACCAAATACATACAGTGGCCCCTCGGTTAACGAACTCAATCCGTTCCAGAAGGTCGTGCGTTAACCGAAAAGTTCGTTAACCGAAACCATTGTTTCAATGGGTTTTTGAGTAATTGGTTCCAGCTCACCGAAAATTTCCTAAATTCAAAAAAAATGGTAGAAAAGTTCACTTACTTTGAGGTGTGTATGTAGAAGGCTCCTGGATGATGATGATGATGATGGGAATTACAATGGGGGTGGAGGAGAAGGAAGAAGAGAAGGCATTGGGGTGGAAGAGAAGTCACCCCATGGCACCATTTCACCCATAAAATTTTAGTTCTCTTGGTGTATTTCAAGATTATTTTCTTTAAATCAACACTGTACTGCATTATATATTGTCAATATGTAAAATATATTTCAAAATGACCAATAATTTGCTTGGAAACACAGAAAAAAGCGTTTAGTTGAAGAGAGTCTCAAGCAAGATGTTACCTCCAGTGAAAACAAAGAGACTAACGCCTGTTTGCTGTGTTAAGAGGCTGGATGCTGCGCTTTAAACTAGTCACTTTACCTTCAATAATGTTCAATAATTGTTAAAATGACTAAAAAATTGTATATTAAACTTTTAAAATTATTGAATAGTACAAACTTCTTGATATTTACTAAAATAGTTAGGAATTTAAGCCCTAGAACCGATTAATGTATTGGCGGACTGATACTAAAGCTGGTTGCCCGGCCAGTGCAAGCGAAAACATGTTGAGGTCGGTTCGTAAGAAATACGTTAACCGAATTTTTGTTCGTTAACCGAATTGAAGATCCTTATGGAAGGCAGTTCGTTAACCGAGGCGTTCGTTAAACGAGGCGTTCGTTAAACGAGGCGTTCGTAAAACGAGGGGTCACTGTACTAAGTAATTGAAGCATAATTAGGTGAAGTTGAGTTGCTGATTTGTACAGTAGTATACAGGGAAGTAAGCAACTGTACTGATAGAAAATATACACATTGTGAAGGTAAGTTGCTGATAATACAGGATTTTGAACTCAGTACAGTACCAGTATGTATGTGGTTTGCTATCAAATGTGGGCAGACATTTTTTAATGTGCCAAGTGTGAATGGCAGCCATGGGTTTTATTTATTTATTTATTTATATTTTTTAACCAAGTTGTTTATACAGTACAGGTATACTTTATATTGTGTTAAACATTGGTTGTTATAATTCATTTGTATTCATATTTTTTTGTGCATTTTGGGTTTGTGTTGTATATGGTCCTATCATATTTTTATTGATTTAATGCTTTAAATTTGTTTGCATTTTTAATTTTCTTAATTTTATTTTGTTTAGTTATAAGGTCTTCAAAAAATAGCATTTATTTTTACCTTCTCCTTATACTTGGTCATCCCAGCAGACTGGCTATTCGTTCGGATTTGGCTTTGTGGAGTATCAGAAGCCAGAAGATGCTGCCAAAGCCATTCTGCAGTTGAATAATCTACCAGTGCAGCACAAACGCATCAAGGTGTCCTATGCACGGCCGCCGGGTGAAGATATAAAGGAAACTAACCTGTATATTCAGAATATTCCCAGGTGAGTGACGTCTAAAACCAGTTTATTACATATACACTGAAACCTCCATGTAACGGAGATTTATCTTCATTTTGTCCTTTAGATGGAAGGTTTCACATCTAATGGACCCTCAATATAACAGACTTTATATCAATACAGTTCGTTAGATAAAGTTTCATGTCTAACAGACCCTTGATATAACGGCATTTCCTCTCCGTATAGTTTGTTAAATAGAGATTTCATTGTAGTTAAAGATTATCATTTGTTTTTGTAAAGGGTTGAAGTTCATTAGTTATGACTGACGTGAAGAATCAGGAACAAATATTATACTAGTACTGTAATTAAGAAGAGATTTTTTAAAGAACTTTTCAATTTATTCAGTTTCTTGTTACAAATGTTATAAATATGAATGTTATAAAGTTGCTTGATTTTTTTATAATGTCCTACAGAATATACAAAACCCAATACAGGTAAAGGAAATTACTGTCTCTAGAACGATTGACTCTGTCCCAGCCGCAAAAATGCTGGCAACTTTAAAACTACCCATAGACATTCTTGGGTACATCCTGGGGGGATATCCACGAATAATCGACTTTCACTACTATAAGACTTTCACTACTATAAGACTTTCACTGCCATAAGACTTTCACTACCATAAGACTTTCACTACTATAAGACTTTCACTACCATAAGACTTTCACTACTATAAGACTTTCACTACCATAAGACTTTCACTACCATAAGACTTTCACTACTATAAGACTTCACTACTATAAGACTTTCACTACCATAAGACTTTCACTACCATAAGACTTTCACTACCATAAGACTTTCACTAATATAAGACTTTCACTACTATAAGACTTTCACTACCATAAGACTTTCACTACCATAAGACTTTCACTACTATAAGACTTTCACTACTATAAGACTTTCACTACTATAAGACTTTCACTACTATAAGACTTCACTACCATAAGACTTTCACTACTATAAGACTTTCACTACTATAAGACTTCACTACCATAAGGCTTTCACTACTATAAGACTTATATTACTATAAGACTTCACTACCATAAGACTTTCACTACTATAAGACTTTCACTACTATAAGACTTTCACTACTATAAGACTTTCACTACTATAAGACTTTCACTACTATAAGACTTTCACTACCATAAGACTTTCACTACTATAAGACTTTCACTACTATAAGACTTTCACTACCATAAGACTTTCACTACCATAAGACTTTCACTACCATAAGACTTTCACTACATAAGATAAGACTTTCACTAGAGACTTTCACTACTATAAGACTTTACTTTCACTACCATAACTTTCACTACTATAAGACTTTCACTAAGACTTTCACTACTATAAGACTTTCACTACCATAACTTTCACTACTATAAGACTTTCACTACTATAAGACTTTCACTACTATAAGACTTTCACTACTATAAGACTTTCACTACCATAACTTTCACTACTATAAGACTTTCACTACCATAAGACTTTCACTACTATAAGACTTTCACTACCATAAGACTTTCACTACCATAAGACTTTCACTACTATAAGACTTTCACTACCATAAGACTTTCACTACTATAAGACTTTCACTACTATAAGACTTTCACTACTATAAGACTTTCACTACTATAAGACTTTCACTACCATAAGACTTTCACTACTATAAGACTTTCACTACCATAAGACTTTCACTACCATAAGACTTTCACTACTATAAGACTTTCACTACCATAAGACTTTCACTACCATAAGACTTTCACTACTATAAGACTTTCACTACAATAAGACTTTCACTACTATAAGACTTTAAGACTTTCACTATAAGACTTTCTACTATAAGACTTTCACTACTATAAGACTTTCACTACTATAAGACTTTCACTACTATAAGACTTTCACTACTATAAGACTTTCACTACCATAAGACTTTCACTACTATAAGACTCACTACTATAAGACTTTCACTACCATAAGACTTTCACTACCATAAGACTTTCACTACTATAAGACTCACTACTATAAGACTTTCACTACCATAAGACTTTCACTACCATAAGACTTTCACTACTATAAGACTTGTGCTAATTTCTTGTGTTTGTTTTTCCTTACAGATCATACACACTAGATCAACTAGAGGAGTTGTTTGCAGTGTACGGCCAAATTGTTCAGAAAAACCTACTAAAGGATAAAGTGACAGGACTTCCACGAGGTGTTGGTTTTGTCAGGTAACTGAATATATGATTTTTTTCTCTTAATTCATCTACAAATAGGTAAGCCAAACACCTACAGTGCTCACTTGACTAATTTCAAAGATTGTTTTAGTTTGTTGGCCCATGTGTGAATTATGTTTTATAGTCCCTCCCTCGTATTTGGCGTCCTTTGTGGAAGTTACGTTGAAAGATTTGTGTAGGGTGGATATCAGGCTTGTGGTGAGTACCATAGGCGAGTTGTTTTCTGTGGGGCAACATTGGTAATTCAGTATGACTTTGGGTGAGTTGGATTCTGTTTTTTAAAGGGTATAGTGAGGTTAATGACCATGCCGTCTGGTGAGATGTACAGGTACTTGTACTGTACATTCATTTGCTTGGGGGGTTGTTTCTGCGATGTGAATATCTAATGTTCAATGTTTAGTATCTTGTTTGGCTGTAATATGCTACTAACTTTTTGGTGTTTGTAGATACAGGTATAGTTGTGGCAAGTTTCTTTATGCCATTTGCCTTTGTCTACCCAACAGTAATTGGGGACCTGGATGTTAATCGATTTGCAGATCATATTCCAGGGTAATGGTTAGCCAGTGCAGTTGGCGAGTTGTCCGGTCTTCTCGGACTTTCCTTGACACTGGGTCATGCAGCTCGTTAACTCAGGGTGGGGTTGTTGTGTTGGAGGACAGCTTCTTCACCTTAAACAAATTCACGCCTCGGTGGCCCTTGGGCCGGCCATCCTCGATTTTGAGGTGCTTTCATTATTATAGTTGTGTAGATGGGTTAGTCTATAATGTAGGAATATGTTCTGTGGGTCATTTATTGTGTTTTGGATGGAATGGATGGGTAGGACACGCAGAATTGAGTTGTGTGCCAGTGATGTTGAAATGGTCCTGTGTGGGGAGAGGTTGTGATTCATTGTAGGTGGTTAATGTTTTTGCTTTAGTACAACCCCTTATTGTTTTGGATATGTTGGAGTTTTTGAGCATTGTAGGCAAATAATGCTGAGGCCCAATTTGGCTAGCATAGTTTAACATTCTGCAGATGAAGAGCAAGGTGATTAAATCAGAATGTTCTTCATATATTCTTATGTTGCCAAATATTTTTGTCTTTTACTAATCTCCATATCCACCTTGACCTTATGAAGTGTAGTTTATGCATACAGTAGTTCTCTTTGTTATTTGGTCCTTTAAAATTACCATTTCAGGTTTGACAAGAAATCTCAAGCGGAAGCAGCAATTGTGGGCATGAATGGTGTGGTGCCCGAGGGTGGTACAGAGCCCCTAGTGGTTAAGGTTGCAGAAGAACACGGTAAAATGAAAGCAGCTTACTACGCTGGTTATCACGCAGGGCTTAGTAACACGAGAGGTGGAACCAGTGGTGAGTGTCTCTGTTGTGTTTTCTCCCAAGTGTTGTCATTAGCACCATAACTTATTTACTTCAAATTTAATATGTGTTTATTGGTATCATGCAGTGCGCTCTATTACTATACAGTAGAAGTCCAAAAATCCGGACTGCTTGGGGATTGGGTCGGTCCGGATTTTCGGATTTTCCGGATTCTCAGGCAGTACTTTTAAAATTCAAATTTAAGGAGGAATAAAGAAGAGGTGAACAGGTACATTTTGATAGTTTATTCATTAGCAAATATAGCATGCTTCATTTATCAAAATGAGCAGTTTTAATGAAAAAGCTGTGAATTCTAGAATTTTATTCTTTGCCTTTTTTATATCATAAATTGTAGACTTTCCAATGTCGTATGTTTCCATTAGAACAGTATTGCTCACACCACGTACTAGTTTCTTAATTATTTCAAGTTTGTCACTCAATTTCAACGTGTTCTTCTTTCTCTTCACACAACGAAGTTTATCTACTTTAGGAGCCATTATTATGGGCTTGTACAGTAATCTGTAAATGGAAAGAGTAGGACTCAAAATATTGTTATATTACAATGGTATTCTATTCATACTGTGCTTGATATAATGCATTCACGGAAATGTAATATTTTTGCTGAAATTACGTACGTATTAAAGTGGAAAGTGGGATAAAATCGTGACGAAAACAATGACTTTCGCTTTCTTTCGTTCAAAAGATGTTACCGTAATTGCTTTTCGAATGGTTTAGTTAAACAACTGTTGTATTACAATAATATTCCCTCCTAATTGACTTGAATAAATACTTGAATGGAAATCTACAATATTTTTGTTGAAACTACACGCGTTTCAGTGTAAAGTGTCGTAATAATAAATGGTAAACAATTTGCCTTCGGCACTCGTGTTTCAGTTTATAGGACGTAGAGCGTTTTTACTGAAGGTTTTGTTGTTCCCTTACCCTCAAAAACGTGGGTCGAACTATGAACGAGGAATATCATAAATTAACGATTTCTTGGTCAAAAAATCAGGGTCGACCGATAAACGAGGGGGGGGGGTATAGATGAGTACTGTATATACGGTATGTTGTCACAGTTTGATTGCTCGTTTTAAAGTGGCGACCACGTGGTCGCTTGTTGTCGCTGTGCAGCTGTGGCGCTCACGCATTCGCACATACACACAAAAGCCCGCTAACAAAAAAAAATAAATAATAATAATAATTAGTTTTCCAAAAGTCCGGATTTCTGGCATCCGGATTTTTGGACTTTTACTGTATATAGTTTGTAAAGGAAATTGAAATTAGTTTCAAAGTTACATACGTATACAGGGTGTATCGTGGCTAAAAAAAAAAAAGCCACAGTGACTCCTGGTGTCAATACCATTCAGAAATGTCCATGAACATGGGTCCAATTCTCAATGATTATGGAGCTATGGGTAAATTTGAGTCTGATTCACAATGATTATGGAGCTATGGGTAGATTTGAACAATATATGAGCCTGTTTATTGGAGCTTGTTCTGACAGTGCATGGGTTGCATAGTGTTTATAGTGGTTACAGTGTGGCTTAAAACTGATCACTGTAATGATGTTTAAAATGGCTGCCTTGAACTTGCATACACACACCTTGGACCATGGACTGTGTAGCCCTACAAAGAACCTCAGGGTCATTCACTTGTCTTGCAGCATCAAATATTAGATGCAGTAGTTGATCTCTGGTGTCTACCTTGTGTACATACACCATGACCTTCATGGCAATAATGACTGTCAAAGCGAAAATATTAATCACAGACCAGAGGTCACCAGACAGGTCTACCAAGCAGAAGCTGACAGAAATTGTTCGAAAACACAATGTCAGGTACCAGAACGTAATAGAAGCAAAAGATGGCTTTATCATGCTCATGCTTGAAGACCAAGATCTGAAAAACCTCTTGTCCCAGAGTTGTATAAACAATCTTAGAGAAGAGCACTATGATCCAATCCTGCCTCCTGCATTGAAGGCTAAAAGAACTGTCCTCTTCTTCCAAACGGATAAATTCGTGCACGAACAGTCTGAAGTGGAAATAAAAGCAGAGATTGAAAAAGAAAACGCTTGGGCGTAGAACAAGGTGGACTATGTCAAAAAATTCACCAGTAAAAAAGGCAAATGGATAATCAAAATTCAGTTCAAAAGCACCGAGGTTGCTGAAAAGGCAACCAATTCAGGTCTCCTCGCATTCACTTATAGCATACCGTACTACCAAATACAACAGGAACAGTACCACCACACACGTACCTGCCTCAGGTGCTATGCCATTGAGGATCATGATAGTGTGAACTGCCCCAAACCCAAGGAATACAAGATCTGTTCCAAATGTACCTCTACGGAACATACCTGGACCGAATGTAAGGCACCACTAAAATGCCTTAACTGTGATGGGCCTCACAGCACTATGTCCATGCACTGTCCCAAAAGAAAGGAAAAAATCAAGGAAGCACAACAAATAGCCACAAATACATCAGTATCACCATACAAGGCTGTGCTGCCGATAGGGACCCCGACTCCTGCAGTCACTGCACGGTCGCACAGAGGTGCAGTGATGGTAGGGACCCCGACTTCTGCAGTCACTATGGTCCCTGCAGCCACTACAGACTCTACAGTCTTGTTGAATACCAGAGACAGATACCTCCATGACCGCGACATACTAGCCAACATGATTGTCAAACACGCCCATGAGGAGGATGTTCGGCACCCAGGCAGCTTTCAAACAATACTCGAAAAATGCTTACGCCACCACAATCTACCCATCCCAAAACTGTTCAGGGCAACATCCTCAGCCTCGGAGGAGACAACAGTAGCCTTTGGTGTGGGTGCACAAGTACCCACATCGGAGATAGCACTTGTCCCCAATCTCCAACATTCACAGACGAGACAACAGCGGTCTCTGGTGTGGGTGCACAAGTACCCACATCGGAGATAGCACTTGTCCCCAATCTCCAACATTCACAGACGAGACAACCCCAATCTCCAACATTCTCACAGACGAGACAACAGCGGTCACTGGTGTGGGTGCACAAGTACCCACATCGGAGATAGCACTTGTCCCCCAATCTCCAACATTCACAGACGAGACAACAGTGACCTCTGGTGTGGATGCACACGTACCTACATCGGAGATAACACTTGTCCCCCAATCTCCAACATCACAGACGAGACAACAGTGGTCTCTGGTGTGGGTGCACAAGTACCCACATCGGAGATAACACTTGTCCCCCAATCTCCAACATCCACAGACGAGACAACAGTGGCCTCTGGTGTGGGTGCACACGTCTGATGTGTCCCCCAATCTCCAACATTCACAGACGAGACAACAGCGGTCTCTGGTGTGGGTGCACACACACTTGTGGCCTCTGGTGTGGGTGCACACGTACCTACACCAGAGATGACACCTGTCTCTCGGACTCCAAGCGATCTATCAGGAAAAGTCCTGAATCTAAGCATCTACGTACCAGACCACATAAACGAGGACTGTACACGTGATGAAGTCGCTAAAGGAGTATTGGAGGGCAAGATGAAATGGAAGTACGACCACCCCAGTTCCAAGGAGTACATCCACGAAGCAATTAAACAAAAACGGGTCGATTTAACAGACTGCATCCACAAGACATCCGATGGGGTGATAAAAAAAATGAGGAATGGACGCACAGTGAACAAACCACGAACCCGAGGTATCCCCCCAAAACCAAATACAAGATACAATGGGCTCGCTTCGTAAGGCAGTGAAAATAATGCAACATAACGTCCTCCACTGGAGAACTAATAAATTCAGTATGTCCAGCCAATACAACCAAGTCGACGCAGATATTATACTCATAAACTCACACGGCCAAAAGGCAGCTGAGGAACTGAAAATATTTGGTTACATGATCCATAAATCCAATCTATCAGAGGAGCCAAATGACGGGGTGGCCATCGCCGTAAAAAGAGATGTCCACCACAGAATCATAGACGACTTCACCTCTGAAACTCTCGCTGTTCAAATCAACTTGACCACAGGGCCAATCATAATAGCCACAACCTACCTCCCACCACGCTGGGACTACCTGCCTTACGGGGACTTCCACAGACTCCTATCATACCACCACCCAACCTACATCATTGGAGACATGAACGCCAGACATCCTCTACTAGATGGTAAGAGGACAACTAACAATGTTGGAAGAGGCCTCGCTGACTTCATAACAAACAAAAAAGCCCAAGCTAATAGGCCCAGACTTCCCCACGTTCTACAGTAGGAACTCAGCCACTACTCCAGATATAGCAATAACAAACGGCAGATGCTTCCACAACTATCTCTTTGAACAAGGCCCTGTAACCTCCAGCGACCACCTACCTATAATCATGACCATCCTCAGCAACACCAATAACTATACCAGCTCCACCACGGAGAATCGCCAAGCAGACCGACTGGGACTTATTCAACGAAAAAGCTACAGCCGAACTTGAGGTCAAGGGCATGACAATCCTGCAGACCATAGACAGTCAGCCGGTGAACATAATAGACGAAGAAATCAACACATGGTGTGAAGCCATAGGAACAGCCTACCAGGAGGCCACGCCTCTCAAACGCAACAGAACTCTCCCATACCCACAACAGACTCCAGGACTCATAGCCCTCACAAACCAGTTCCAACTGCTACAACAGAGAGCCGAGACCCATGGTTGGGACATCGTAAGCTACAATACAGTGAACCCTCACTTTACGTGGTTAATTCAACTCACGGCGGCCTGCATAAAGTGAGAAACGCGTAAAGTGAACAACATAACATATGGGATTAATTGAAATAGAGACCGGGCCGACCCCCAAACTCCACGTTTTCAGACACAATACCTACGTTGTAGTAAAAATAACTTCTTAATTTTATGATGGTATGCACACACAATTAATAATTAAGAGAAATATCAATAATATTAGGTTTTTTAACACTTACATTAGTAGAAAAGATGGCTGGGCACACGGGGATGGGGGGTTGGTTCCGAGGCAGAGGGCAGATTATTGGCCCTCACCTGTATCAATTGTATCACTATCCACCACAGAGGCTTGCAGGGCCTCTTTGTCAAAGTCCATATAAGTCCATATTCTCACTATCATTATCACTATCACTGACTTGGGCCGGCTGCGGTGGGTGGCGGGTGAAGAACTCGGTAATGCTTTGATGACTGGGCGACCTTGTGCGCACCCTGCTCGCGCCGCTCTCCGCATAAAAGGGTACACGCACCGCGGAAAGTGAGCATTCCGGTTTCGGCAGAGTACCGCGTAAACGTGGAAACGTGTAATGTGGGACCGCGTAAAGCGAGGGTTGACTGTACATACAGAAGAATCCGGGAGGAAATAAAAATAAGATCTCTGGAACAAAGCAACCTCAAATGGGCCGAAATAGTTGAACAACTCTCACATACATACAACGATCCAGGAGAGTTCTGGCGTCGAGTTAAGAGATTGAAAGGTTGCAGCCGTAACTGGTCATCATATATAACTGACCACGCAGGAAGTAAAATATATGACGACCAAGACAAAGAACCCATATTCAGGGACATATGGAGGAACATCTTCTGAATCACAAATGAAGAGAATAGGGGATTCGATGGTACCCACGAGGAGCTCGTCCTTGATGAACTCCGGGGCCAGACACACCGCACTCAGCCTTCCCCTGAAATCATATGGGAGGATCTGAGAGCGGACAGCCCATTGTCCAAATCAATCACCTCGGAAGAACTCAACAGAGCCATCTCCAATACCAAAAATAAAGCCCCTGGTTATTCAGGCATCACCAAGGAGATCCACAGCCACATAAACAACCCAGCCATGGAGAGACTGAGAACCACAATGAACGCTTGCCTGGCCTCGGGCTACTTCCCAACTAAATTCAAAGAGGCCATTATTACCCTAATACCAAAACAAGGAAAGAACCCCGCCGTCCCACTAAACTACAGACCGATCTCCCTCCTCGAAGTACCTGGAAAAATACTCGAAAAAATCATCAATAACCGTCTGAGAAATCACCTGGAAACAACAAACAGAGTCAACTGCAGACAATTCGGGTTCAGGAAAGGGAAGTCCACCACAACAGCGATAGCCCTGGCATGCGAAAACATAGCCAGAGCCGCGGCGAGTGGTAGACAATGTAATCTAACTCCGGGATGTAGCGAAGGCATTTGACAAAGTCTGGCACGACGGTCTAAAATATAAGATCCTCCAACTCGGACTTCCCACCAACATTGAAAAGTTGTTTGCAACTTTCTTGACGGCAGAAATGCTAGACTGAGGGTAGGACAACACACAGGAGAGACCTTCCCACTCATGAGTGGAGTCCCTCAGGGAAGCGTCCTCTCCCCCACCCTATATATTATCTACACAAGTGACACCCCGCCTCCCACTAGAATAGGTAACGAAGATATTATGTATGCAGACGACATCACTCAAATAACAACACATCAAGGAAAATCGCGAGCGTTACAGGCCGAAAACACCAGGCGAGAATTAGAAAGGGTAAATAACTACGAAAAACAATGGAAAATCCAAACCAGTCTCCCGAAATTCACAGTGATACCCTTATGTAGAAGGAAAACCCATCCATTAGTAACCAATAATGCCCAGATACAAAAGCAGAGGCACCCTCCTGGGCCTACATATAACCACGACAAGTTACTCCCATCATATCCACAGTAGGAAGGAAAAAGCAAGAAGAGAGCTGAGAAAACTATACCGCTTTAAAGCGCTTCCTGAGAAAATAAAACTCCGCCTGGTGACATCATTTATCACACCGATATTAACTTACCCAGCAATACCTCTTCATACTATGAGCACCACTCAAATATTAAAATTACAGGTGGTCCAAAATGAAGCCCTAAGATTCGTCACAAGTGAAAGATACCCCTTCACCAGAATCACAGCTGAGATACATAGAGACCTGAGAATGAATTCCATCAACCAGCAGCTGCACACCCTGGCCAGCAGAATCTGGCAAAAGATAGAACGATCAGAGCAAGAACTCCTTCAAAGACTCCCATCAGATAACGACAACAACCATACATGGTTGCCAAAAAGCTACGAAATCTCAAAAGGTCCATTACCACCCCCGATCTACACGGCCAGCAATAGACAACCTCCCTAGACCAGCATCCGCCAGTAGGGTCGGCGGAATATGAAATAAGGCCCTTAAAACCCCCATAAATGGGACAGGGTAGGCTGTCTAGTACCTGTACCGGCAGACAATAACTAATCCATGACACAACCCAAACACACTGTTAGCTTAGCTAGGCGGTCAGCCCGCCCTCTCTTACCTCCTCCTGAATTTCTTCAATTTCCGAACTATAACTTCCTTCCCCCACCTCTAATCTTCCTTCATTCCTCCTTTGCCTACAAAAAAAATAAAAAAATAAAAAAATAAGTGACACCACATGGTGGAAGTCTTTTGTATAGAGGTCTGGCAACCAAAGTAGCCATCACTGCGGACTGCCACGGCTAGCCCATGGATCAGGTAATGTCTGGTTGGGATACTTAGTCACGATTCTACTGAAATGTGAGGGCACTTTGCCATGCTGGAAGTATATTTGTGTTCATTTTTGCAAAAGGAATTTCCTCCAACAAGGCTGGGCAACTCAGGCTCCAAAAACATAAAGTAAATTCCACCTGTCAGATGTTCCTGGATGATGAACGGTCCAATCAGCTGGTTGCCAGTAAACTGTGTCTTGTCAAAGAATAAAATTGGGGGGGGGGGGTTTACATCAAACCACTGGCAGAACTTCAACTGCTAACCCTTGTCCTCAAGTTTCAAGTGTTGAACTCGCTGGATGTGGTACAGATATACTGTAGTCCTTCAGTGTGTAAACATGGCTAAGTCACAATACACCCTACTGTACTGTATGTGTGTGTTAACCACCCTAAATTTTACATAACCTAACCCCTCCAAGCTACTTTAGGGTGGTTATTCTTCAGGAATCAAGGTAATTAAAAAAATAAATAAATTATATGCCTGCACTATTTGCATTATTTGCGGGTTACAATAGTTTTGATTTTACAGGTAAGGATGACTTTTATTTATATCTTAATGCTAAATTAACATTGTTCTGAGTCACGAGCAAATATGAACAGGGTCCAGGAACATGGTGTTTTTAGTTCATAATAACTCGGCAATGTCCAATTTGATTCATCTCACAAATAGGGAAGAAAAAAGTTGGATTTTTACAACTTAAAACAAATAATGGTTTGGTCTAATTGCTTGCAATTTGTTAGTCACTTGTTAGACAAGCTGTGGCCTGCCACAGAGCCAGACAGGTTATTTTTTTTATTTTTTTAGTTTAACAAATTTATTGGCAAAGCTTGTAGTACAGTTTGCCTATTCTGAGTAATTCAGTCAGGTCTTGACACTGAGGGTGGTATCACTTCTCACTGCCACGCAGGACAGAGGTTCATACACAAAGAAATACATCATATTCATTGACAGTATATATAGGTCAAATTCATGTGGGTGATGTCACTGTTCACTGCCTTGCAGGACAGAGGATTGTACACAAAGAAATACATCATATTCATTAGCAGTATATATAGGTCAGAGTCATGTGGGTGATGTCACTGTTCACTGCCATGCAGGACAGAGGATTGTACACAAAGAAATACATCATATTCATTAGCAGTATATATAGGTCAGAGTCATATGGGTGATGTCACTGTTCACTGCCATGCAAGACAGTGGTTCATATACATTGAACAACCTAATTGAAGATTAATCAGTGTGGGCTAGCAAATTTGGGATAAACAGCAAGAATGTCCTCAAGCACCCCCAATTCAATTTAGTAATTACAAAGTTCATGATACAATAAGCCAGGTGGCCTGAAGTCTTTGACAGTGTCACATTCAATAATATAGTGTTCAAGTGTATGCTTTAAAGGTTTATCACAAAGTTTACATGCTGAGTGTTCCGGTATGGGTACAGCGTTACTAACATGCCAGATGTGTCTGTATCCTAGCCTAATTCTGGCCACGACTACATCACATATTCTGGTTCTGTCCTTATGCTGGCCATACCAGTACCTCTCGTCAGAAAATTTGTCATATTTACTGATGCTACAACTGCCAGGTCTCTGCATTTTGCAGTTCTTTAGATCAGAGTTCAAGATTCTGACTTGAATGTTTTCAAGTACAGCATTGGACAGGCCAAGGTCACGGTCAACATTTTCTTTCTTACATGCCAGACAGTCAGTCCTGTATTTAGTAGCATTCTGCACACACCGTGTATTAGAGGTTGGGCCCTTTACTTTTTACTGTTTCATCACCATGACGAGTGTAAGTGATATCAGTAATGGTGGAAGGACAATGTGAATGATCATAAGCATACAAGTATCACTAGTAAACTGAAAATGGTTGAATATATCCAGTCTCAAGACCTCAGCCACTCTTTGTACTCTCAGGGTATAAACAGGGTAGCAAATGTTATAATTTTAAACATTTTCATATTTACAGTATGTATCTGATTATCACATTAGATGGAACCTGATGATGAAACAGGGTCGTAAATGGTCATAATATGGCTATAAATGTACACTTTAAATGGCTATAAAGTAAAATTGACTGATTCAAGCCTTAATAAAGAGGGTCCAGAAAACCTGACCACATCCACCCCAATTAGTCTGGTAAAGGAGGGCTGCTCTTATTTTTTTATAATAGTGATGAGAGTATTTGTTGAATGACAAACATGTGGTTCAATCTTAAAGGTCGTGGGCGTGGCAACTACAACAACCGTGGAGCTGCTGGTTACCAGGGGCGTGGGAACTACAATAACATGGTGGGTGTCTCGAGTTTTTTACTTAATTTTAATTTTTATTTACTAATTTACTTATTCATATTTGTTCCTGTTGCCTCCAGTATTGTCTTCCAAGACTAATAATTCATTTTGAAGGCTTAATGTTAATATTCATACAGATGTTTTGAGAAGTCAGTCCCTGTATGGAGTTGCTGCGCTTAACATGTAATAATTACTGATGTTTGTTTTAGTGGAATCCTGTTATACTTACAGAAAACTTTACACACACACACACAGAGTATATAACTCTCCACATTGGTAGGAAAGTAAGATAAAAATTTTTTTTTATGAAGCATCAAGTGTTCTATGAATAGATATCTCTACATCTTTGTAATGTAGTAACTAGGACAAACTTTTGGGAATTGAGAGTTTGAAAGTAGGAAATGGTTATCTGTGCAAAATTTGTGGGTATGAGAAACGGTTCTGTTTGGGAAATTAATATGAATGAGTTTTCCATTAGGTTATTTGTTTTCTTGTTTTCTCTCCTGCTCTGTCACTTCCATTCACACATGAATGCTCAGGTTTATGACAAGCTTTGATTTTTAATGGCACCAACTTACACAAATTGCCTATAACCAAAATGCGTGCATGTGCCATCCTGCTTTTAATGCAGGAGAAGGCATAAATGATACCAACAGTCAAAATAACTTTTAGAGGTCCCCTACAGGACATCTCTTTTTACCAAATTAATCATCACAGTTTGCACTATGCTACCCTTTAGGTAGAAGTAACTCATGAGACAACACAGCAGTCATAGTTAAGCCTAATCCTTGCTAAATTAAAACCATACTGTACATTCACAGGTCATCCATTTGTATTTTGAGAAATATTGGAAGATTTGATTGATGTCACTGCAGTCTCCTATAATGTGATTTCCAAGGCTGATAACTGTGTACTATTTGGGATCTCTAAGGTACAGCACTTAGAACTAGTTATATGAGGGAAAATGACTCCTGGGTAATTAGTTGTAAAGTTGTAAAGTTTATTGTAAAATGATGGAAATAGATCTCTCATTATTGAGCGACTTCCTTGTGTCCTATGATAGGGCCTTCTAATATCAGCTCGAGTTACCCTTCCTGCTTTGTTGTTGGTCTCTAATGAGTGAGAATTGACATATCACTTGTTCTCAATAACTGAAAGTCTATAGAGCCATGGCTATCCCATTGAACACTTGTTTGGCATGGCAACTGGCTGTGCAATCTAAGAACCTGAGCATGTCCAACTCATCTTAAGTGAATCATGGCATATCTTGAGTCATGTCAACTGCTCAAGCTTCAGTTTGTGGCTGGCAATCTGAGAGGATAGTTTAAATTGATTGTACCTTCCTCACTATACTTTCTACTATGAAAAAGCTACGTTTTGACCCCACAGGGCATTTTAGAGATGTCAGTCAGGTTTACTGTAGAGTTTGAATGTTATCATTGAAGTAAAGCACAAATCTACTCTCACATATGTAATTTTCTGAGGTTGATTATATTTTCTGCCACATTTATTGAGTTTAGTCGAGACTGCTACAGGATGGTTACCATTAACACTGGCTTTTTTTATCCCTTTACTTTACCAATATGTATCTCAGTTCACCATTTGTGCAGAATGAACTCGTGTATGGGCTTTAGGCTGACTTGTATTGTACATTATACTCACTGCTTCATTAACTACAGGTTTTAGTGTGTTAACAATTGCATAGAACCTCCCAAGGGTTATGTCAGTTTCTCCCAGGTGGTCAGTGAGTGTATTTTTTTTAAATCCCCATATACTATAATCGATAAATATGAGGAACACCCAGCAACTCTTATTAGTATAATAAAACAGATAATGTATATAACAGGCAGCTCTAGGTATCATTTAACTTGTTTGATAAATGAACTGTTGGACTATTAACTGACGACTTGATACAGGGTTCACTGGTTATTGTGTAAAGCTTTGATGAATTATATCATTGACATTTAGTTTTCAGTGATGTTCCATAACTGAAGTGTGTGAGATTGACTAGACCAGACCTAAGTTCACTTGGATATTTTTTGGCTGAGTTAGACTCACTTGGGTTCGTAGATGGCTGAGCTTTGTGCTTTGGTGAACAAGTGTTCAGTTGGATGCTTACAGCTCTAAACAGACCTTCAGTTCTTTGAAACAACTGCTGCATTTTATTCCTCTCATTCGAGGCCAACAGGGGAGCATAACTGGCGTTTCCAAGGGGTTAACAGATTGACCTAGCTAATGTAAGCAGGTCCTCCCTGAAGATTCAAGGATATTATGAGAGCTGTCTAACATTGGGTTCAGCTAGAAAAGGGGATTGCAAGAACATCCCCCCCCCCCTTTTTTTTGAGCAAGAAATCAGTTGGTTAGAAGAGTCACATGTTAGTTTTATATTTATCAAGGATAACAGTCATTGTAGTATCTTCACTAAGATTGCATTTAATAAGGATGATTGGATTTGTAAAAGAGAGATATTTCTATGTGGCTAAAGGAGTACTGTATGTGAACTACATGAAAGAAATTTGTGTCCAACACTTGATAAATGCAAAGACCGAGTACAACCCTATCTAGAAATATTAATGTTGACACCATAAATTTTACTCTGTGCAGTTGCTCATGGTAAGAAGTTGATGGAGTGAAATAGAGGCATTGTTACAGTAAGCTAAAAGATTAATATCTATACCACTCCCCCTCCTGAGAACATCTCACAGCACAGTACTACTCCTACACACTTGGCCTAACTATCCACACACTCATACACGACAGTTAATATTCACTTCCATATAAAGACTCCAACCAACTGTGCACTATATGTACCCATATCACCCAATATTTACATCTTGTAAACCTCTCTCCCCAGATATATAAGAATGCATTTTGCCAGTGTGTATTGTGGTCACCATTTTTTCCTTGACTAAAATCAGCACAGTATATAACATAACCTTCCAAAATCCACTGATCCGCTTTACAACACTCCCCCCCCCCCTTACACACATGCACACACAGAGATTAAAACTCATCTACTTAGTATATGGCTGACATTTATTCAACAAAGACTGTCCTTCAGCATAAACTTTCACAAAGAAAAACTAGTTTGGGGAGCGACCAGTGGTTGTTGCCGAATGCTTGAGTTCTGTCAGTTTTTCATTCAGGTGATATTTGGAATAAGAAACTTTGGAAATTTTATTCTGATCTTGACCATATTAATGAGGAGTTAAGTATGTGACACTTTTGGGAGGGATATATTTGACTGATATATTACCTTCAGAAAATGAGGCTAGAATTTTCATAATGGGTAATATTGATTACTGTATAGGAAGAAAGCTGAAGAAAATATGGCTGCTATTCATTGGATTTTTTTTTTTTTTGTGGTGAGACTAGGGCAATATGGGAGATTTAAAGGTTGTATTCATAGCGTTCAGCAGCTAATGGGTTGTTTCATCATTGCTAATTGCACTCAGTGGTGTAATGTGCTCATTTATTGTTGAGTGAACCAAGGTGGGAATCCTATCCTTCAATCCTGTGAGGAATTAAATCAATAACCATTTGTTTGTGAGGTGACTGCTTCACCATCTGTACATATAATGATTTGTTATAGGATAAAAAATAAGGACCAAGATATGGTTATTTGAAGTGGTTGCTAAGAAATTTTGTGCTTGCCAACAAGAAACTGTATTTTATCATAATACAGTAAGTCTCTTTCTTATCAAATGTCTTTCCTGACATTTAATTGCCATGGCTAACATGCAAGTTGCACATAAAATTTAAACAACTGGTCCTGTTTCCATAGTTTGCCAACTTTTCATTTAAAGATGTCTGCCAGATTTTAGGTGGTGGTAATAGGGTGATTTACATACAGTAATTTAGATAAGTCTGTTGAAGTTATACACTACGTAGCTGTATTTCTAAACTTTCAGACTGGCACAGATCCTTTAGTTTTGTAACTAAGGCTGTTCTTGACTACAAATCCAGGTACCCTGTGTATTGTAATGTCAGAGCCTATAACAAGAAGAAAACTCGGCAAGGACTTGTCACCCTCACCAAGCTAACTGGTACTTGGATGTATTTTGCCATTTAGCAGACCCCAGTTGCCTTTGCTGGTTCTTCAGGTTTTTGAGAAAATTCTTGGTATGAAGATTTAGAGCACTTATCCTGGTCACAGCAGTAATATGCTTAAAGACACTATAGTATTGCTAAAAGTTCTTCGCGCATGATGCTGACCATTTTTTGTCAAAACTACTGAGTGGATAACAACTACTGTAGGTGAAATGACTTGAGCCTCATTTAAACTTAGAAGTAATTTTAACAAGGATGTCAGTAAAGCTGGAGCTCTTCAAAAATTTTCTTGAAATTTTAATCTTCGGAGCCCAGTGATTTATTTAATTTTGTTGAGATTAAGAAAAGGGAAGGATGTGGGTGGTACAATTACTTTGTTTCTTTTATCTCTTCGCCACTGTCGGCATTGGCAGCAGAAGCGTCGGTCACGTCTCTTTTCCTTTATATTCTTCACCAAAAGGTCGGCTCGCTAGCCGCCCGGGCGATCGGTCACGTCTCTGTCACGCACTGTTGGCAGGTACTGGGCATGCACCGGCTCCTGAATGTACCTGAACCCGCTCCAGTGTTGGTCAAGTCTTCTCTTGAAAGAGCTCACACTCGGTGCCGTCACAACACTCTGGTAGATTGTTCCAAGAGTTTACAACCCTCACTCCGAAAAAGTTTGCCCTCACGGTTTTCCGGACTTGCGGCTTCTTCAATCTTGAGCTGTGACCCCTTGTGGGGCGAGCGTCCGCCAGCTCCAAGTAAGGACACTCAACTGAGTAGTGCCCCCTGAGATGCTTATAAACCTCAACTAGGTCCCCCCCTTGCCCGTCTGTTACAGTATATACTAACAGAAAAGAGAAATAGGAAAATAAAATTACAAAAGGAAAAATCACTCCTCTTACACATATGTAGGGTATGTCTTAATAAGATAAAAAAATAGAAATAACAAAACTAATTGATAGGCT